TAATCGGAATAAATAATGCGTGTAAAATGGAACAACGTTGCTAAATATTTTTCAAATTTTTTAAATAAATTTTATAAATGGAACATAAAAGAAATTTGTAAAAAGTAAAAAATAAAGTTAAAGTTTAAGAATATTTATAAAAATTATAACATTTTCGAGTTTTTTTAATCCTGTTTTACATTACGACACAAGTGTCAGTATATAGACTCGAAGAAAAACGTAAGTAAAATGACAATAATCATTCGAAATTTTTTGCAGAAAAGAATAACATGACTGGAATGACTTGTTATTAGAGAAAGTATAATATTCAATTCCACGACACGTTTATAAGTTGTTTTACATTTACTACACTACAACATATTGGTATTTTGAAAAATTTTATATATTCTGTAAAATAGTATATATCAAATAATTATTACTTTATAATGACTTTACTTTTGAATACAGTAATACCTCGACTTACGCGAACCTGGAGTTATACCCCGTTCGCACCGAGCATTTCGATCTAGATTGTGACTAAAGTCAGAGAGTGTTCTGTGATGCGAACGCTCTCGACCGTTTCAATCTCGACTGAAACGAGGTTCAATCGCGATCGACTGGAGAGAGAGTTCTCGAAACTAGATCCAGTCATAAGAGAGATCCCACAATCCTACGCGCGCGAGAAAATACAAGATGGCTGCAGTACACGTGTCGGGCTTTCGACAGAGAAATAAAAAAGATAGCTGGAGAGACGACGACATCTGTCTATTATTAGATGTATGGCAAGAAAAAGTATTTATTTCTAACCAAAACTTCCATTTTGTTGGTGTTTGTGACTTATCGCGTAGTTACGTCAGTTTTATGATCGAGTGTAATAGCCAGGTTCTTCTCGAGCGGACTGCCTGTGCGAACAGAGTTACAGAGTTAAGAAAGAAATGGCTGGACTCAGAGGTATAGCCATTTAGACAATAAGAGGAAGGAAGAATGTAGCGAGAAGGTAGGTGGATGAAGATTAAAGTAAAGGAGATAGGATAGTGGGAAGGGAAGCCCATGAGGTCTTGCATCGCATTTATTAAATTAGATCAGAATACAGATACAAATACAATTACAATACAGAATTAGTAAATGTGGTACAATATAGCATATATATGCGACAATAATTACCGGTTTATTAAAAGACAAAAGACATTAAGCAAAAAATATTAAATAAACAGTATAAGTGAAATAAGACCATGTACAAGGCTGGCATTTGGCCAGGAATGCGCGACAATTTTTGTTAACAGCTGAGATAATGGGATATACAAATACTCGAAGATGGTGACCATATGCGAACAAGGAAAACAGATTAATTGAGTTTATTAACTTCCGTGGCAAAGTTTTTGAATGCATTGATGATGTCCTTGTCGCTAAAAAACGTACGAAGGTCACACGGCCATAGTTGTCCTTTGTTGTAGACAGCATCCCTGAGTTTCTTTCGTTGGGTTATATAGAGTGGGCAGCGGAAGATTAGGTGCTCGGGGTCCTCTTCTTCGTTGAGGTCACAAGTGCATTTGCCGTCGGTTTTGTTTAGAAACCTCAGCAAGTAAGAATTAAAGTTACCATGCCCCGTTAACAGTTGTGTTAGCTGGAAGGTGGTATTGAAATTCCATTTAGGAGAGTCCGAAGGAGAAGGGAGGTAGCGGTGGGTGAGCCTGCTTGTATTGCCATTATCCCATCTGGATTTCCAAGTTTTGAGAATAATATCGTGCAACAGATTGTTGAGATGGGTGATGCTAATTCTATTGTAGGAGATATTAGTTGCTAAATTTGGTGCTTTGGAGGCAAGAAGGTCCGCTCTCTCATTACCCGCAACCCCTGAGTGCCATTTGACCCAGTGGAAGTCAGTGTTAATGCCTCTGTTCCTGAGGGCACGGATACTATTGACGGTGTCCCTTATGATTGGGAGATTAGTGTGTGCACTTGGCTATTTGGTGTATGGCGACTCGACTGTCGCTGAAGATCTGATAGCTGTGTTGATTCACTGTATTGTGGTTGTTTGTAATCCAGGTAATAGCTTCCAGGATAGCCAGAGACTCGGCTTGATTGATCGTGCAGTGAGGTGCTAATTTCCTGCACCTCTGGTAGAGACACTGGGTTCCCTTATAGACTGTGAATGCACAGCCAAGGCCGAGCTCGGATTTCGATCCGTCGGTGAAAATGCTGATTGAGTGTTTATCTATTGGATCGTGTATTGAATTTTGAATGCTGGTGATGCTTGGGTGGATGTACTTCAGGTCCTTGTGTTTGTCAAGGCCGTAGGGGGTGACGTGCATCGCAATTTGGTTAATTTCATTGTTGTAAGTCTCTTTGCAAGTAGCGGCGCTGAAGGTCTCAAGATTTATTTCCCCTTTAGGTAACTTGGGCAAATTATATCTTATATTTGCTTCTCTGATCTTAAGGTCAATAGGGAGAGTGTTGTTGAGGACAAGAAGGGCCTCTGTAGGGGCTGTCTTGTAGGCTTTGGCGGTGTTTATGGCCGACAGCCTTTGGATTGAGAGAAGCTTACGTTTGATGTGGACCCTCGTAACTGATGAGCCTTAAATCTCTGCCCCGTACGTAATAATGGGCTCAACAACCGCGGTGTAGAGAATCCTGCTCGCCAAGGGTCCATAGCCCCATTTATTTCTGCTTATCGTTTTGAGCGCTTGGGCTACTTTGGTAGCTTTTTCGTAGATGTGATATACGTGGTCGGTCCAGTTTAGCCGATGGTCGAGGATAATCCCTAGGTACTTGACTGCAGTTGAGTTTTGGATTTTTTTACCGCTTATTTTGATGCTGGGCCCTTTCTTGAGTGGGTTACCCTTTGGAAAAACTATAGCGGTACATTTGGTATGATTGATAGAAAGCTTTACCTCATTGCACCATTCTTGGATAGTGGCTAGAACTTCGTTGGTCCTATCTTGCAGTACTTTCAAGTTTACGTGACTAAGAATGAGGGCTGTATCATCTGCATACCCTTGCAGATGTACGTTATAGTCCTTAGGGAAATTTGGTTGTAGATTTAGGAGTCCATTATAGAGGATATTCCACAAATAGGGCCCCGATTTCGAGCCCTGAGGACACCCTCTATGGATGTTCCTATGTAGAAGATTGAAATTGCCCGTGTCCACGATGATACTGCGATTGTGTAAGTAGCTTCTTGCAAGGCTATAGATATTCATTGGGCAGTTATTGGTCTTCAAGTTGTTTAAAATGACCGGCCACCAAGCATGGTCGAATGCACCCCTGAAGTCGATGGTAACCATCAGGCTGTCATTCCTTTTTGTCGGGCGTTAAGGACATAGTTCTTGATATTATCAATGGCGTCGATTGTGCGTTTGCCCTTTCTGAAGGCGTATTGGCTGTCATTCATAATAGTGTGTTTTTCAAAGTGGTAGGTGATCCTGTTCACCATTAAGGCGTTAAGGACCTTGCCAACGAATGGAAGTAGAGAAATGGGCCTAAAATCGGATGCTTTAGGAGGAGAACTGTCGCTAGATTTCGGTATTAGCTTGATAGAAGCTTGTTTCCATATGATAGGAAAGTACCCCAGCTGTAGGCATTTGTTCATTATGAGGCTAAACGTGGTTGGGATAGCCTTAAACGCAAGTTTGGCCATTTTGGCCGTAATTTTGTCCGGCCCGGGTGCTTTCTTGTGCTTTAGTTTATCAAACTCCCTATCAATTTCGGTGTAGGTGAATGGAGAATCATTATAGTTATTGTAGGCCTCAAGAGCACGAGACCTAATTTCCCTGTGAATTTGGTGATCTGTGGTTTCGTTGTCTTCTGGAAAAAGTTCGTTGATGATGTGATTGTAGGTTTCCGAGATTGTTGTCGTGTATTCGTTGTCATTTATCTGGATGGTAGGGGGGATCATTAGTTTTTTCTTTTTCTTGACTGCTAGATGGAATGGGGTTGACCATGGATTCTTTTCCCCTGCATTGGAGCAAAATTCTCTCCATGAGTTAGTTCTTGCCTTATTAATTTCAGTCTTGTAATTATGGAAGAGATTCATATAAGTGGCTCTGAGCTCCAGCTTGCGGTCAGGGTCAGATTCCCTACGCATCTTTTTCTTTTCTTTCCTGAGACTGGCCCTTAGTTTTTGTAAGTCCGCGTTCCACCACGGTGCAGAGGACTTCACCGTCTTTATTGTCGTTGAATGATAATAGGCCCTATGAATTGTGTTATGCAATCTCTCCACAACATTTTCCAGATCCATAGCGTCACTTATCGCTGAGATGTTCCCCGGGATCCAGAATAACTGAATAAGCTGGGAGTATAAATCCCAGTTAGTCCTTTGGGTTAGAGAGTAGCGAGGGAGCGGGGTTGACTGGTCTATAATCGTTTCAATAAAGTTATGGTCGCTGACCGCATGATAGTCTAGAGTGTTGCATATGATGTTGTTCTGCTGAAGCTTGACAGATCCCATGCAGATATCTATCCAGCTTTCTCCGTTGGTGGAGGAGAAAGTGGGGAGAGGGCTGGTATTCAGCGAGGTTAGCTGGAGGTGTGTCATCAATTCTTCCACTAGATAACCCCTGGGGTCTTCAACCGGACTATGCCACGAGTGTGATTTGGCGTTGAAGTCCCCTAGGATGAGGATTGGTGAGTTTTGCAGATTTAACACCGAGGAAGATAACATGTCGAGAGGCTGAGTTAGGTCCTCTGAAGGGGGACAGTAGAACGAGATGAGAATAAAGTTGATGTTGTTCAGGCTGAGGTTAATCGTTGTGAAGTATTCGTTGCTATGCTGAGTGATGAGTTGAACGTCAAGCTTGTCATTAAAGATTATGAAGCCGGTCTTAGGAGGATTGCCACTCCTATCACCATGGTTAAGTATGCGATTGGAGCCGAACATTGCGATTTTATTGTGGTAGGTATAAGGCTCTTGTACGGCCAAGATGTCCGTATGCCTTGTGGCCGCAAGTTGTATTGCATCAGAAGCGGCGGCTTTACATTTTTGTAAGTTCGCTTGTAGAATCCTCAAGGTGTTTGATATTTTGTTACACTCCATAATTCGTTTGTCTAATGGTCAGTGCCTTCATGCGAATGGTGACAGGGCATTGTGGGTTAAAAGCATTATGCTCCGTGTTATACTTTTCCTGTTCTGGTAGGTCTTTGTTTGCTGTTCTACAGTTTGTGCAGCAAGGGGGTTCTTCTAGCCTTTGACATTCACCAAACCTGTGCCCTTTATTACAATGACTGCACTTCTGGTTTTTGGTACAGTCGGTGGAGATATGGTTAAATCCACAGCATTGAAAACATCTGACCAGAGGGATGTAGTCGTTTACTTGTATTTTAGCCCATACTATGGCGACGTGCTTTGTGCCTACCAATATGTTTCTTATTTTAGGTGTGGTGGAAAGGACGATATTGCGACAATTCTCTTTTGCGTTATTCCTATTGAGTATGGTGCTGATACGGGTCGATTTTATAAATTCGTCATTGGAGATTGGGAGATTTTCGTTTTGTTCAATTATTATGGATGTTAATTCAGTCTCGTTGACTGATTTTGGTACATTTGAAAGGATTAATCTGGGCCTTCTCCCTTCTGAGATCTTACTTTTTACCTTACTAGAAATCTCCGGGAGTTTATTGATTGCCTCTGAGAGTACTTCCGCCTCCTCGTGTGTGTCCGTGCGGAAGCATATCCCGTCGCCTTTGACCTGTCTATCTGATTTTACTTTGATTTTGAGTTCGTGTGACTTTATTTTCGTTTTTATCTCCTCTTCGATTTTAGTCATGTTGACTTCTTTTCCTTCGTCATCGTCCTTTGGGTATAAGTAAGGCGCTAGATTACCCAGGTATGCTCATACGCTTCCGTCACGTGTGCAGCCATATTGGTCCTTTTGACATCATATTCCAAGATTTTTAAATTTAGCTGTATTTTATAACTAGTTGCACTAAATTTTGGCAAAGTTTATCATTTCGACCTTGCAAAATCTTAAGATACAGTTGAATTTATGATTATTTTCGTGTCTCTTCTATTGAACTTCTACGAGGGTCGTCTGCTTTCTAAGGACCAACATGGCGGATGAGCATACCTGGATTATCTAGCGCCTTAGGTATAAGAGGACGGCGTAGCTTCCTCCAGCTCCTTCGTTGTTAATTTTGTTTTTCAACGATTGGTTGATAGATCTTGTGATGAAGCTGGATCTTGTATTCAATTTGGTTACATCGGCGTAGGATGTTGGTGGAGCTAAGAGAGCCGTGGTGTGCGGCAGGCCCTGAGAGAGCTTTGACCGAACTTCCTTCAGGATGCCTTGAAATTGGCCGAGGCATGAGAATAACATGGTGACTTTATCGCGCACTTCTCTCCGCTCTTCTGTTCTGATATAAGTACTATTTTTCTCAGGGAGCAGGTCTAGAATTCGCATGAAGTGTTGGTTAGCCTCTTCTAGAATTTTATCTTCTAGAGAGGACAAAACAATACGAGGAACCAAGGTGTTACCGCCATTAGTGGCTGGATCGGTGGTAGAGGACATTGTTGAGGTTTAACACAAGAGCAAGAGCAATAATTGTAATAGGCAGGGAAATTTGTAAAACAAGACACAAATAGTAGCTAATATGACCGGTACGTGGTCGAAATACCAACAAATTATAATTAATTAAAATTAACAAATATCAGAATGCTACAGACGGATTTAGATTGATATGAATTTTTTGAAACGGATGATATATAACACGAGAAAACAAAGCTATACATCCCGAGAAAGCGATCCTACAGCCCGCTGTATTAGGGTCAGTAAGAGGATAAGACCCGGCCACGTGCTCAGGACAATGACCTATGACTCCTTTATCTCAGACGAATTTAAACACGACCGTAAAAACTAGACTAATAACGATAACACTGTGAAACCTACAGAGCAGGTAGGTGCCAATATGACAAAGGAGATACCCGAAGGTGAGCGGCTCCGATGGCCCGATAGGCCCGCACGACAGCCCGATGTGCGAAAGTTTCCGGTCGTGATAACTCGATAACGAAAAAGCGGAGAGAAAAACCGTAAACACCGTTATAAAATAAGTTTAAACCACTACAAATTGATATATAATATCACCCCTTACCGGCGGAAGCGAGCCGGAAAAAGTTGTTCGAAGACCGGAAATTTCCGGAAGCCGTAATTCCGAAACGCCTGGACGGATCCGGAAAACTAACGCCTTGTTTGATAACGTACGATGAACTGATTCCAGCGGTGTATAACACTTGGTTGATTAATCTATTGGCAAGCGCCAAATCCGACAGAGAGCGCTGTTTTTGAGTTAAGATGGCTGCCGAAACAGGTAAGGAGCCGACTACGTGTTTTTCAGTGCCTGAGCCGATTCAGTTACTATCGGTGACGACTACTGCGAGGACCAAATGAAGAACAAATCATTGAATTTATGTCAAATTCTAGACTATATCGGCGACAGGAAACGTTGTCTTGTAGAAGTGAAGCCGTTTTGGATATATGTGACGTACACACACACACAAAACATAATNTTTATAACTAGTTGCACTAAATTTTGGCAAAGTTTATCATTTCGACCTTGCAAAATCTTAAGATACAGTTGAATTTATGATTATTTTCGTGTCTCTTCTATTGAACTTCTACGAGGGTCGTCTGCTTTCTAAGGACCAACATGGCGGATGAGCATACCTGGATTATCTAGCGCCTTAGGTATAAGAGGACGGCGTAGCTTCCTCCAGCTCCTTCGTTGTTAATTTTGTTTTTCAACGATTGGTTGATAGATCTTGTGATGAAGCTGGATCTTGTATTCAATTTGGTTACATCGGCGTAGGATGTTGGTGGAGCTAAGAGAGCCGTGGTGTGCGGCAGGCCCTGAGAGAGCTTTGACCGAACTTCCTTCAGGATGCCTTGAAATTGGCCGAGGCATGAGAATAACATGGTGACTTTATCGCGCACTTCTCTCCGCTCTTCTGTTCTGATATAAGTACTATTTTTCTCAGGGAGCAGGTCTAGAATTCGCATGAAGTGTTGGTTAGCCTCTTCTAGAATTTTATCTTCTAGAGAGGACAAAACAATACGAGGAACCAAGGTGTTACCGCCATTAGTGGCTGGATCGGTGGTAGAGGACATTGTTGAGGTTTAACACAAGAGCAAGAGCAATAATTGTAATAGGCAGGGAAATTTGTAAAACAAGACACAAATAGTAGCTAATATGACCGGTACGTGGTCGAAATACCAACAAATTATAATTAATTAAAATTAACAAATATCAGAATGCTACAGACGGATTTAGATTGATATGAATTTTTTGAAACGGATGATATATAACACGAGAAAACAAAGCTATACATCCCGAGAAAGCGATCCTACAGCCCGCTGTATTAGGGTCAGTAAGAGGATAAGACCCGGCCACGTGCTCAGGACAATGACCTATGACTCCTTTATCTCAGACGAATTTAAACACGACCGTAAAAACTAGACTAATAACGATAACACTGTGAAACCTACAGAGCAGGTAGGTGCCAATATGACAAAGGAGATACCCGAAGGTGAGCGGCTCCGATGGCCCGATAGGCCCGCACGACAGCCCGATGTGCGAAAGTTTCCGGTCGTGATAACTCGATAACGAAAAAGCGGAGAGAAAAACCGTAAACACCGTTATAAAATAAGTTTAAACCACTACAAATTGATATATAATATCACCCCTTACCGGCGGAAGCGAGCCGGAAAAAGTTGTTCGAAGACCGGAAATTTCCGGAAGCCGTAATTCCGAAACGCCTGGACGGATCCGGAAAACTAACGCCTTGTTTGATAACGTACGATGAACTGATTCCAGCGGTGTATAACACTTGGTTGATTAATCTATTGGCAAGCGCCAAATCCGACAGAGAGCGCTGTTTTTGAGTTAAGATGGCTGCCGAAACAGGTAAGGAGCCGACTACGTGTTTTTCAGTGCCTGAGCCGATTCAGTTACTATCGGTGACGACTACTGCGAGGACCAAATGAAGAACAAATCATTGAATTTATGTCAAATTCTAGACTATATCGGCGACAGGAAACGTTGTCTTGTAGAAGTGAAGCCGTTTTGGATATATGTGACGTACACACACACACAAAACATAATATGTGCTACAAACTTTTGACTGGCCTATGTTGTATAAGTGCTGAACGACTCAGCAGGGCAGCCTTCAGATTGGCACTAATTTTAACTATTATGATAAATAAAACTTTGTTTTTATATTGGAACATTGTGTATACTGCTTAAAATATTTAAATACTTCTCACCTGTTAACGTGTAATAAACATGCTATCACATGTTTACAAAACCAGACAGCTACGCTTTGCACGTGCATTCTCCCTGTAATTGAGATGTATTAAAATGCCAATATCAGAGATTGCAACATTAAAGCAACAACATGAACTTCGGTGTTTTTGTTAGAGTTTAATCCACAAAATACGATGTGTCCAGCATCCAAAACGGCTTCACCTTCTACAAGACAACGTTTCCTGTTGCCGATATAGTCTAGAATTTGACGTAAATTCAATGATTTGTTCTTCATTTGGTCTTCGCAGTAGTCGTCACCGATAGAAACTGAATCGGCACTGAACAAACACGTGATCGAATCCTTACCTGGTCCGGCAGCCATCTTGGCTCAAAAACAGCGCCCTCTGTCGGATTTGGCGCTTGCCAATGGTTTCGCCGATGCGACGATCGGAAACAGGAGCACATGTGAACACGATCAAATCTCGGCCACCTTCACACAATATCCGCTGCCTGTGCGAACAGCACGACGTTCGACTAGCGACAGTCACGATCCAGATTGTAGGTAAATCGAGATCGAAGTGAGTCGTGGATTGTGTGCGAACGTAGTATTACGCGATTTTCAAATCTCGTCGATTCGTCTTTTGTTTGAGCGCCACGCAACTCTTGATTANAAGACAACGTTTCCTGTTGCCGATATAGTCTAGAATTTGACGTAAATTCAATGATTTGTTCTTCATTTGGTCTTCGCAGTAGTCGTCACCGATAGAAACTGAATCGGCACTGAACAAACACGTGATCGAATCCTTACCTGGTCCGGCAGCCATCTTGGCTCAAAAACAGCGCCCTCTGTCGGATTTGGCGCTTGCCAATGGTTTCGCCGATGCGACGATCGGAAACAGGAGCACATGTGAACACGATCAAATCTCGGCCACCTTCACACAATATCCGCTGCCTGTGCGAACAGCACGACGTTCGACTAGCGACAGTCACGATCCAGATTGTAGGTAAATCGAGATCGAAGTGAGTCGTGGATTGTGTGCGAACGTAGTATTACGCGATTTTCAAATCTCGTCGATTCGTCTTTTGTTTGAGCGCCACGCAACTCTTGATTACTCACCCCCTCAAACTATTGTTCAGCTTATATGTTCGAACGTGTCGCGCGGAATCGACACATAGCTACAATTTATTTTTTTATTTATTTCTGTGTTAGTTATATCTACGGAGAATTGAGAGACTCTATGTGGTGATTTCTTGTAACTGTGAACGAATCAAAAGACGAGATAAGATTAACGAGAACATTTATTAGCTTACATACAACATACTTGGATTTTACACAAATTGCGAAATTATACCCCGACTTACGCGGTTATCGCTCGGTCCCACCTATCGAGTAATTTCGGGGTATTACTCAATATGGTAGATGTATTTACATCAAAATATTTAACTTTTAATTTACTTTTAACACGTTTTAAACAAACTTTTTATAAGTTAATAAACTAATAAAAATTAAAATTTTGAAAAAACTAGAAAA